GGCACCTGGGGAGGGGGCTGGCAGGGGACTTTGCGTTGTTGCTGCTGCTGGTAGGACATTTTCCTTAGATTGAAGATAAACTGAAAGAAAGAAGAGAAGCACTTTAGAATGAGACAACATCAGTGGAGATTATTTCCAAATTAGCACAAGGGAGAAGCCCCCCTCTTTAATATCAATGCTGTGACCATCCATTTTACTCCCTCCCAAGACAACCCACCCCACAGAAGCCTCCAGGGACCACAGAGGCCGACAAAGATGGTTTTCTTGGGGGCTGCCCCACAGATGCCCAGTGTGGCTATGTCTGCCCCACCCGGAGAGCTGGTGCCTGGACGGTGCCCAGTCCTTTAAACGGAGCGTGCCCGCCCTGCAGGGAGGGTGAGAAAGAACAGGTTTGGAAAGTGTCAGGAAAGCGTGCCTGAAGAGAAAAGGTCAAATGTCTTTAGAATAGTCAGCTTGACTGGGCTGGGAGACAGTGGAGCACCTGCTAAATTTTGTACGCCCCGTTGATGCAGGGCATCTAGTTGGGAGAGATTGGGTTGCATCTCTTCCATGAATTCCTCGTTTCTCTGGGACTGTGCCCCTCATCACTGCTGAGGCATCCCTTCCCCTGACTCTGCTGTCTTCAGCAGCGTCTCTAGTCCTTCCGTCTCATTCCTGATTACGTTAAAGCTGATCACTGCGTCTTCAAGGATATTAATGCCCCTTCACAGTGACTGTCCAGAAGAGTTAGAACTGGGGCAGAGTGAAGGTCAGTAGGAACCCCCACCAGGCACCCCGCTCCAGTCCTCGCTGGGTAGCCCACACCTGTGCTTGGAAGCTTGACCATGACACACGAGAACTATTCCAGGTGCCCACAAGGAAGGACAAAGCGTGGGGGCGATGAAAGCTAAGTTCTGGCCTCAGCTGTACCAACATCTGTTTGGCCGACCTGGAGGGTTTTCATCTATACCTTTAATCACACTGATCTCAAATCGCCTTCTACATTAGAACAGGAGTTGGTAAGCCTTTTCTAAAAAGGGCCGGGGAGTAAACACGTTAGGCTTTTCAGGTCAGACAGCCGCTGTCACCACCATTCAATCTGCCATTACCGTGTGCACGTAGGCATGGATGCTCTGTAGACCAAGGGGCAAGACTGTGCCAATAACACACTACAGAAACAGACGGTGGGCTGGATTTGGCCCGTGGACCCGAGTCTCCCGACACCTGACTTAGACCCCTGGCTTGTGTGTTGCGCTCCGCCTCACGCCTCCCTGCTCACTGCCTCTCCCACCTGGTCTTTATTTTCTGGTCTGTTTTGCTTATCTCTTCCTGTTGCCTTTTCTGTATCCCACCCCGACCCATAGCCCTACGCAGTCTTTTCATTCCCTCCCATGGGAACCCACCGGTGGCCCCTTTGAGGCCCCCGCTCCCACAGAGCAAAGCTTTCCACTCACCTTGCTCTCCGGGTTGTTGCAGACCTCAGGGAGTCAAGCGCACAAAGAAGCTCAGAGCGCAGGGTCCTTTTATCCTGTCTCAGCCCGGCAGGAGGAAACCAAAGGGGTTTCCCCAGCGTTTCCTGGTGTCCCGATGTCTCATCCAGTTCTCAACACTGTCACACTCTCTCTTGGCCTGCACATCTCCAGTTTGGCAGCTTTTGGGTGAAGAACATTTCTTAAGATTTGGTATGTATGTAATGGGTGGAGCAGGGGGCTAGAGGGATTAGGTGCATTTTATTCAAATGTACCTTGTCCTTTGGTGGAGTTTGGGTGGAGGTGAGGGGACCAGAGGAAGGAAGTCCCTGGGCTGGAATTCCCAGAAGTAGCCTTTTGTAGGGCTGGAATTCCCAGAAGTAGCCTTTTGTAGGGACGCCAGGCTGGATCTTAACACACTTTCTATTTCATCTCAGTGTCGCCTCCCCACATCTACAGAGTAAATGAAGTTGCTATCTACACCACACACACCATCTCTAGCACTGATGTTAGCAATCAGATATCAAGTTAATATCATTTACCCTGACCCACCTGGGGGCCAGGTCTGTGAGTGGAGAAGGGTATGATGATGACCAAGACCCAGCCCAGACCCAAGAACACCTCATAGTCCAATAGGAGACAGATGTGAGCACGCAGAGCGAAGGGACCGTGCAGCATGGCAGACATTTGATCAGCGCCCTCTACGTTTGCCAGCTGAGAGGTTACATGGAAGAGGATTATTCCTGCCCAGGGGTTTCTTTCCTCGTCTAGACTTGTCCTGAGCTCTGGAGCTTGACCCAGCCCTCCTCCATCATGTCACATCATCCTGCTCCCAGCTATCACCCCTGAAGTGATATTGCCCTCTGCCTTTCTTCAGAAC